ACCTAAAATCCTTAGAAAGAGAGGTTTACCACAATTCAGAATTTTTTTTTAATTTTAGCACTACAGCAAATATGTCATAGCATGTAACGCCCCAGGCAGTGTTCAAGCAATAACCTATATTCCATCACATTAGTACCTTAACAGTAAAACTCACACAAACTCACAAAAAGTGAACTGAATTAAGAATATAAATAGCTTCCTATCAGTTCAGGTTAGGTTCAGCCATCAAGTGCGTTTTGGCACCAAACTTGGCATAAAATTGGTTAGATTATCAGAACTTTCATATTTCAGAATTTAAGATAAGAGAGTATTGGATCTCTATTACTATAGATGCTTTATCAGTATTAATGATAAGCATTCTAGAGCAAAAGAATGAAATGTAAGTTTATACCTAATACCACCAAAGTAATTCCATGCCAATTACCAAGACATTCATTATCCCCAAATGTTAAAGGCAACAAACTCTAGAGTACAAAACAGTCAGTCTGTTTCCCACTATCACACACTATTAGTTCAATAAGCAGTAATCCGTCAAAAAAAAAAAAAAAAAAAAAACACAAAACAGATCTATGACAAGACAAAATATTCAGAAATATAATGACCAGGTTAGAGAAAAAAATAAAATGAAGCTGTACATTGAAACTTTAAAAGGATCCATGCAAATAAATGTGAAAAAAATTCCAAACTTTCAGTGCTGATCAATATGCTATCAAAGTATGGAAAATTACATAAATCAACTTATAACTAATATTGGAAAATTTGCTCTGAGAAATAAACAATTCCAACTTAAGGTTCACTTTCAACTGCTCACTTAAAGTTCCTGCATTACTATTATTATTATTATTAATATTATTTTTGAGATGGAGTCTCACTCTGTGGACTAGGATGGAGTGTAGTGGTATGATCTCGGCTCACTGCAACCTCTGCCTCCCAGGTTCAGGCGATTCTCCTGCCTCAGCCTCTGGAGTAGCTGGGATTACAGGCCCGTGCCACCATGCCCAGCTAATTTTTGTATTTTTAGTAGAGATGGAGTTTCACCATATTGGCCAAGCTGGTCAGGAACTCCTGACCTTGTGATCCACCCACCTAGGCCTCCCAAAGCACTGGGATTACAGGCGTGAGCCACTGCACTCCACCCAGTTCCTGCATTATTTAAGGGGAGGACAACCGTCACGGAAGTCTGCAGTCATGGAATCACTATTCCTTAAATTTCCTGTGGACTTTCTGATATGCAGTATTTCACAGGACTATTATACAATCAGAAAAAGTTTGACATTTCCTTTCTACATTAACTTATACATTTACTAAATAACTCAGGGCACTAAGGGTCAGCACACAGTACACTATGTAGCCTTCACTACTTACTAGTTCTGCTCATTAAAACTAGAGGAAAATTATAAGGAAACCAGCTTATCACACAACCGCCTCCCTCACAAACTTGGAAAAAAGACAGAAACAGAGGTAAATTCTGCAAGGGTATGCACCCTGGGAATTCTCAGAACTGGGTTGTGCATAGCCATTTTTTCTATACTCTGTTAAATCAGACACATTTTTTGATAATTTGAGCAGCCGCGGGAACTATACACCTAACCCCATACTTCAGGGACAGAAGGTAATGTTCAGGATAACACGAGCAAGCCAATGCAGTAGGCTCCACTGGCTCCACTGGCTCCATTGCTGCAAATGTCTACAACGGCCTTACCTTTTAACTATGAGAAGTTTGAGATATGCCTCAAAATTTACTTATAAATGGACACTTCAGTGTTTGTTCAATTCACCTCATCCAACACTAAGGAAGCACTTAAAACACACAAAGGTGGACATAGGGAACACAAGTGTAGAATAAATCAGTGGTGACTAGAAAGGTCACTAAAAGAAGTGATTCAGGATGCAGATCCTATAAATGTGCTGCTATCACCATGTCTCTGTGTTCCTTATTGCATCCATATTTTAAAATAAACTCAATGGGATATACTGCCCTGAAGGACTGCCAGCAACACACAGTGAAAAATGAGAGAAGAACTTGAGTGCCTAGTTTACAAAGGTAAGTTACATATCACTTTTAATAAACATGTATAACTAACACTCATAAAAATATAATTTTGGTTAGTTGTTACAAACCTGAGAGCTGAACATTTAAAAGACAAAAGCTACTTTAGTTAATTCATTAATATAACCCGCCCAACAGGAAAATTATCATGTGATTAAATAAGCATAGTCACCACTAAAATAACATCCAATTCCTTTGTATCTAGAGAGAAATCCAAGTTCGAGCACTCTACAATTTACCTGGGCAACAGGAAGATATGGGAAGGCAGTCAATAAATGCATATGTAAAATAAGTATTTCAAAATATCAGATGCTTAAGAAATACTACCACTGACCAGCTTCTAATTATCATTGGAACATGGCATACTTTTGAAAACAAACAAACTTAACCATCATAGTTTTCTTTATTTCTCCCCACCACCCCCAAGATGGAGTCTTGCTCTGTCACCCAGGCTAGAGTGCAATGGCACAATTTCAGCTTACTGCAACCTCCACCTCCAGGGTTCAAGCAATTCTCCTGCCTCAGCCTCTAGAGGAGCTGGGATTACAGGTGCATGCCACCATTCCTGGCTAATTTTTGTTTTTTTAGTAGAGATGGGGTTTCACCATGTTGGCCAGGCTGGTCTTGAGCTCCTGACCTCATGATCTGCCTGCCTCGGCCTCCAAAGTACTGGGATTACAAGCATGAGCCACCAGGCCCAGCCAAGCATCATAGTTTTCTAAAGGAAAAAAGGTACTCTTTGATGAGCATTATATTACTATCCATACATCAAGCACTACCTAGAATCTAGCTTCTGATGCTGTCTAGAATCCAGCATCTAATATTGAGAGGAACAGAGGGAGAGAGACAGAAGGATACACTAACATATAAGGCCCAAGAGAGCTGCGCGCAGCTTCATACAACAACAACAAGAAACATGTTCCTATCTGGGCGCGGTGATTCACACCTGTAATCCCAGCACTTTGGGAGGCCCAGATAGGTGTATCACCTGAGGTTGGAAGTTTGAGACCAGCCTGATCAACATGAAGAAACCCTGTCCTACTAAAAATACAAAAAATTAGGCCGGTGTAGTGGCACATGCCTGTAATCCCAGCTACTTGGGAGGCTGAGGCAGGGGAATCGCTTGAACCCAGAGGGCAGAGGTTGTGGTGAGATGAGATTACGCCATTGTGCTCTGGCCTGGGCAACAAAAGTGAAACTCTGTCTTTAAAAAACAACAACAAAAACATGTTCCCTTTTACCCACTAGGTTGACTACCCAACAACATTTTAAGTTTTACATATGGTTTCTGAGAGTCCTCTAGAAAAATGTTCTCAATAAATCAATACCCATTTTGCATTTACACTTAATGGAATTCTTTTGCTAACTTCTTTGAGCCAAGTATCTTTTCTTTGTTTGTTTGTTTATTTATTTATTTTTGACATAGGGTCTCACCCTGTCGCCCAGGCTGTAGTGCAGTGGGTACAGACACAGCTGATGGCAGCCTTGACTCCTCAGGCTCCTGAGTAGCTGCGACCACAGGTACAGCCCATCACATTCAGTTAATTTTACATATATATATATATATATATATATATATATATATAAATTTTTCTTTTTAAAGTAGGGACAGGGTTTCACAATCTTGGCCAGGCTGAACTCCTGACCTCGTGATCCACCTGGCTTGGCCTCCCAAAGTACTGGGATTACGGGCTTGAGCCACCACGCCAGGCCAATTTTTTTTTTTTTTTTTT